CCTGGGAGTAAATCCTAATGAATTCTGCATGACTTGCTTTGGAAAAGACATGCATGGCGTTGCACAGTAGAACTTTCACCAGGAAGGTAAGGCGGCCATGTGCCCTACTTTACAGAGCACAGTTCCCTATTTGCAGGGATGTCTGGTCCTAGACTCGCGGGTGGCGCTGTGGGTTAAACCACAGAGCCTAGGATTTGCCGATCAGAAAGTCGGCGGTTCGAATCCTGCGACGGGGTGAGCTCCCGTTGCTCAGTCCCTGCTCCTGCCGACCTAGCAGTTCGAAAGCACGTCAAAGTGCAAGTAGATAAATAGGTACCGCTCCGGCGGGAAGGTAAACGGCATTTCCGTGCGCTGCTCTGGTTTGCCAGAAGCGGCTTAGTCATGCTGGCCACATGACCTGAAAGCTGTCTGCGGACAAACGCCAGCTCCCTCGTCCTATAGAGTGAGATGAGCGTGCAACCCCAGAGTCAGTCACAACTGCACCTAATGGTCAGGGGTTCCTTTACCTGGTCCTAGACTAGTTTAAAGATAAAGAATCTGATTTTCCACCAATAGTGAGCATCTGGAGAGCAGACATAGCAGGCACACACTGTATTTCTGTTTACATTATAGTAATTAACTCTAAATCCGCATCTGTGCATATAAATTAGCATGTGCAAATTTTATGCAAATTGGTGTCTTCCTTGTCTTCTTTTTTGTGATGCGTAAGTGGCTCCATCACAATTTGGACTTGGACCAGGGACGCTTGGGTTCACAGGATTACTGCTGGTGAAAATGGCAGGACTCCCTCCATAACACCTTGCCTTACCACTCTTAGCAGCTTCCACATAAGCACTAGCTTATGGGATACGGAAACTCAATGTCTTTAGATTAGACAAGTTGTACTGGCAAGCTGTGTCTGGGAGATATGCCAGTTGCCTGCTCTGGACAGGGTTACACTCCCTATTTACACAGCCGAATTTTAGAGTTGGAAGGGACCCTGAGAGCCATCAAGTCCACCACCTGCTATGCATCAAACTTTTGCCCAATGTGGGGCACTCCTGGGTCCAGATTTGCCATTTGAGGCTCAAGTTACCTCAGTGGCTAAGGTAAGCTTTTACCAGCTTCTTTGGATGCATCTGTTCCTGGAGAACACATAATCGGCAGTAGCTCACCAGGTGGAGTGGAGGGCAAGGTTGGAGGTGCACCAGGATGGAGTACTGGATGGGCCCTGCTGGGGTGTTTGCACCAACCTCCCCGCTGCCTTGCCGCTCTCCTCATCCAGTGACTCACCTGCAGCTCTGCCCCACCCACTCCAGTGAGCCACTTCTGGACAAAAGCGATGTGTGCAAATGTCCCCTCAAGAAATTCCACTCTGTTTGTGGGAGAGAAATTGGAGGGGGACGTTTCACCAGATTTCTCTAGGGGAAGTAGAAATTCACTGAGAGTTTCTCTCAGGGGGTGAGGCCCATCACTACCAGCAGCTGTAACAAAACTTATTCACCCACCCCACTCTAAGTAGAAGTAGCAACAGTGATGTTGAGAGTCTAGCAACCATTTTGTGTCCTACATAATGCCTTGGAGCTAGAATTGGACATTGTGGAGCAGGGAATGGTGGACATCGTAAAAATAAAAATGGTGGAGAATACTCAGAGAAAGACCTATAAAATCCTGGCTCTGCACTGCTCTGTCCCAAATGGCAAAATATCAAAAATGTTCTCTTAAAAAAAGACTTCTGAAATTTTTTTGGCTCAATACCGTGATAGTCACCGTCCAGTCATTTTTATGTTATCTTGTTTAGACTAAAGATTGTCCCTTCATTTGAAGTCTAGGGCTGACAATTATTATGTGGTGAGTTCATGAATAAAGATAATAAGAGATTTGCCCAGTCATTGACTTGCAGGGTAGCCTCCAGCAAGTTCTTATCCCTCAGTACCATTTGTAAAATGGAAATAATATTGATCTATATCTCACAGGAATGATATGAGGACAAATAAAAGCGAGGTGACAGTGCACCTTGCATATGAAAATTATTCCTAAATCATAATAATATGTAAAATATTTTCCGCTAAGGATTTCTGGACTGGAACCATACGTTTCCTGTTGTTTTTATATGATTCTGAGGGGGGGGGGGAAATGTTCACAGTAAAAGTGCACTTGAATTGGTTGAATCCACAGCACAATTTCCAAAGGGATTCAGTGATGCTCCATTTCACCACGATAGAGGTTCATTATTATTATTTTTTAAATGTTCATTAAAAGTTTTCAACATAAAATACAATAAAGATCACAGTAATCTAGAAAAGGAAAAATAGAAGTAATTTGAATTTTTCTGTATTGGATTAAAGAAGATACACACAGGAAAGTGATGGATTGAAAGATGAAAGGCCCTGTGTGAGGGGCAGGGTAGAAAGGATCTCCCAGGGTGGGAGACTGGGGGAAGAGGGGGTATTTCCCAGGTGAGAGCTGAGAGGGTTCACTCTTCTGCGTACAGAGTAAGGGTCAATATTTAATTTTGAAAGAGGCCTTTGTAATTTCCTTTTGCTATTATTATTATTATTATTATTATTATTATTATTATTATACCGCCCTATACTCGGGGGTCTCAGGGCGGTTCACAGAATAAAATCAAGATATAAAACCACAAAATACCTAATAAAAATAAAAACAACAACCCCATAAACCCACCCCACCCCCAACAAAAAAACACATTTTAAAAGGGCATAGGATGTAAACTGGATCAACCAAAGGCCTGGTTAAAAGGGAATGTTTTTGCCTGGTGCCTAAAGGTGTAGAATGAAGGCACCCGGCAAACTTCCCTGGGGAGAGCATTCCACAGATGGGGAGCCACTGCAGAGGAGGCCCGTTCTTGTGTTGCCACCCTCCAGACCTCTCAAGGAGGGGGCACAGGAAGAAGGGCCTCAGAAGATGATCTCAGGGTCCAGGTAGATTCATATGGAAAGAGGCGGTCCTTGAGGTATTGCAGTCTTGAGCCACTTAAGGCTTTATCGGTCAAAACCAGCACTTCGAATTGGGTCTGGAAACTAAATGGTAGCCAGTGCAGTTGGACCAGGATCAGTGTAATATGCTCAAACTGTCTTGCTCCAATGCACAACATGGCTGCTGAATTCTGCACTCTTCTCTTCTTTCTCTTCTTCTTTATTTCCTTCCTTTCCTTATTCTTGCTTTTTTCTATTTTCCTTCTCTACATTAGTGTACTTTTTATTGCACCGTGATAAAGGTTCATGAATCTGTGTAGGCATGTACTCACCTTAGATACAAATTATTGAAACACTTTTACACGTCTTAAGAACATAAGAAGACCAAACCCCTTACTCTACTTGAACAGCATCCTTGATCTCACAGTGGCCAATCAGATGGCCCATGGGGAAGCCCTCGAGCAAGACACGAGGCCTCTCCCTGCTCATGTTCCCCAAGGACTGGTATTTATTATTTTATCGCATTTTTATACTGCCTTTCTCTAAAGGCACCCCAGGTGGTTTACACAAAAAATGGTACCGAAGTATATTCAGACCAGCTTCATAAGCTTCCTGGCATGTGGGATTCCTTGCTTCTGCCTTCTTCCCTCGAGTCACACAGGAAAAGTCCCAGGGAACGTGTGTGTCTGTGTCTGTGTGGAGTTGCCTGGAGCCCGAAGGTTTGCTACAGTCTAAACCACTGAGCCTCTTGGGCTTGCCGATCAAAAGGTTGGCAGTTCAAATCCCCGTGACGGAGTGAGCTCCTGTTGCTCTGTCCCAGCTCCTGCCTACCTAGCAGTTCGAAAACACACCAGTGCAAGTAGATAAATAGATGCCATTTTGGCGGGAAGGTAAACGGCGTTTCCATGCATTCTGGTTTCCATCACGGTGTCCCATTGCGCCAGAAGCAGTTTAGTCATGCTGGCCACATGATCCGGAAAGCTGACTGTGGACAAACACCAGCTCCCTCGGCCTGAAAGCGAGATGAGCGCCGCAACCCCATAGTTGCCTTTGACTGGACTTAACCATGCAGGGGTCCTTTACCTTTTACCTTGCAACAGATTCCCATGCCAAAGTTCCCCTAAGCAAATCCCACTGAAATAAATGAGAGCGGCACAAGAGCTGAGCTACACAGAGCTGAACTATAACATTCTACACAGTCTGCTGCTGACTAATGCCTTTTATAAGTAACACATTTCTGATTCTCACTGCTGTTCAATCAATTCCTTTCTCTGCTTTTGCTGCTGCCTCTGCTGTTGTCTGCTGCAGAAAGCATCTCTCTTCTAGTTTAGAAGGAAATTCATGCCCTCTCTCTCTTACCACCTTAGCATTAAACCTTCCCTCAAAGCCTGAACAAATCCAACTGGAAGCTTCTGCCCTCAAGGGGCAAACATTGTAGATGGATTCTACTCTCATACCTGATTTATTCTGTCTTGGCTTTGGAGGAGTTAGCTTTGATTGACGTGGATGTAATTAATAACAGAATCAGGTCTTTTGTCACAGCTTAAATAGCAACATTTTTTAACAGGAGGGGAAGCGCGGTGTTGGGCAATGAGAATTAGAAATGTGTTACTTATAAAAGGCATTAGGCAGCAACAGACTGTGTAAAATGTTATAGTTCAACAAACACTGTGCCTAATAAACTCCGTTGACTAATGTGATCAGTTCAGCAGCTTGGTGGGGGGGGGAGAAAGGGAAGGGGGGGAGGGAGGGAGGGAGAGAATAATTCCAGTATGCTGAAGAAACCCAATACCGGATGAGACCAGCGAATCCAGCAGCACAGATGTTTTTTATTTTAAAAGATATTCAGTTTTCCATATAAAAAAAGGCTGTTTGGTGCAGAGGAAACACTTAAGGGGGAAAACGGAACGAAGGATTTCCATTTTTTAAAAAAAGTTCAGAACCATTGTTTATTTCAGAGAGAAAGAGAGAGGAAGCTGCCTTATAATGAGGCAAACCATTAGTCCATCAAGCTCAGCTTTGCCTACACGGACTGGCAACAGCTCTCCAGGGTTTCAGGCAGGCGTCTTTCTGGAACCTTCCGGGAGATGCTGGGGATTGAACCCGGGACCTACTGCATGCAAGACAGATACTCTGCCCCTGACCTCCAGCCCTTCCACAGAAGTGTGGACTTGGATTTATTTAAGAGCATCCGTGCTGCTCAGTACTGCAATAGCTGAGTGCAACGCAGGCCAGGGAATGACTGGTTGTCATCTAGAGGAGTTATTCAGGGGGCTGTGGGAGGCAGGTGAAAAGGCAGGACCCCTGTCCATTTAAAAGCTGCATCTGGACAGCAGGCTATATGCCTATATAGGTCACCTGGTGACAGCCTTCCCCAGGATGGTGAGATGGCTGTACTTAAATTGCAGCAATTATTTCCACACGACCAGCTATGCATATAGATAAGCAAAGGCACACTTTCCGTAAATCTCTGCCTCCTTTTTTGGTGATGGATTCCTCCTCCTCCTATGATTCTGCATAGGCAATACTAGGATACACAAATCAATAATCTGACCTGGTGGTATAAGGCAGCTTAATAATAATAATAACCATTATTATTTATACCCTGCTCATCTGGCTGGGTTTCCCCAGCCTCTCTGGGTGGCATCCTATGGCATACCAAAGAGTCTCTGCACCTCAAAAGCTAGGTGTCAAGGACTTGGGCCCTAGTCTAGCCTTCATTGCATTCTCCATGTAGGGATTGTTTTCTCCATGGAAGCATCAGGAACTGCTGGATCTCTATACAGTGGCTAGTGTAATGAATCACTGAGCATCAGGAAGCAGCAGAGTAGCCTCAGGCCCTGCATACTAGGTTACATGGTAAGCTACACCTGCGGAAAACTCCTTTCCTAACCCAACTATTAACAGTACTGGAGCCCTGTCTTCCTTTTCACCTGGCCACCCCAGAGACAGCTCAGGTTTACCATCTCTATTAACTTTAGTCTTGAACGTGGCCCGTATTCTTCACGCACAACAGTGATATTTATTTTTTCCTAGGAAAACGGGTGCCAGACATACCATGAACACCTCCCTTGTGCTCTTGCAATGGCAAGGGTGAGCACCTGAGAGGTGCTGGAACTGAGTTCCAGTGAGTTCCAGCTGAAAAAAAACAACCCTGCACAACACATATGTTTCGCAACTCTGCGGCGAGTCGTCTTTGATGAATATTGACAATTTAAACAGCAGCTGTTGACTTAAAGGTCTGGAGAATATTTGGCAAGCAAAAGGGCTTGGAAGAAGAACGTATTTAATGTGGCTTGGATGAGATGCGTTCTTACAGATGCGAATTGCCATGGCGGCAAAAGAAATGTAATTCCACCTAGACTGTTGGTACCAATCAATAACGGGATTGTTTGATTCCTCCTCCTCCTCCTTCTCCTCCTCCTCCTCCTCCTCTTCTTCTTCTTCTTCTTCTTCTTCTTCTTCTTCTTCTTCTTCTTCTTCTTCTTCTTCTTCTTCTCTTGTTCCTTGGAAGCATTACAGTTACCACTAAGAATACTGCTAACCCCGCCTCCCTCTTAGACCCTTCAGTAAATAAATTAACATTTAGAAAATGATTTTGTGCTCACTTTCTTGAAAGCCATCAGCAGGCTGAATCACATAAGCAGGTACTTCTTGCTCAACAAGATACAAATAAAAAAAACAAACCAGAAGGTCCATTTACGGTTGGCTGCTAGTTATAAAACAAATGATCAATTAGCACAGGAGAAAAGTTAACATTATCCTGATGACAAATAGCTCCCTTAAACCTTAGAAGGAAAAATGAATTAAAGTTGTGGCAACTGGGTCTCAATCCAGATCCTCACACCCAGGAGGACTTGCCCCCTTACAGTTAGGATTGGGAACCTTGGGGCCATTATCCCCATGGTTAGGGATGATGAGAGTTTAGACAGGAGGCATTCCCAGCCCTCTCCATTCATAAGCAAGCCCTATTGAGTTCAATGGGGCAGGTTCATGCCACACATTTAAAGCACATCCAATGCCCGTTTAAAACACGCCCTTAGAACAGAGCCACAGTTCCCAGAGCTCCCTGTGGAAGAGGGGTAAATTCTTAAAACATTCCAGAAATTGTAACTCTGAGGAGAACAGGGGCTTCCTAACAGCTCTCAGCAGCCTTAAGAAACCATAGCTCCCAAGATTCTTTGCATCATAGAGCTTTATACGTATGGTGTGAATGTGGCCCCACTGAACATCTCCACCGGGTAGTGTCTTCTGCTGAACAGATTGTTGACTGTGTTAGCTGAGAGAGAGAGAGAGAGAGAGAGAGAGAGAGAGAGAGAGAGAGAGAGAATCACCTGTTAGGAAGGAGAAAGAATGGGGCTGCCTATAACCAGGTCCAAAACAGATGACCAACATGTCCAGAAAGAGGCCTTTCAGTTTGGGACATGTATTCACAATAGCAAATATATCATTTTCAAGGAGGGTGGTGGATCCACGTCCCAAATCTGTGATCTTTAATGTAAGTCATTCCCTTGCTTTCCTAATTGCAATCCTAGCCTCTCCTGTGCAAGGGATTAATTCCATTTCATAATTTAAGTAGCCTTTCCTGGATACCAGATGGGTATTGATTTCCAGTAATACCCTCAGATCACATTGCCCTCTACTCGTATCACCTCATACAAGGCTAAATGCATTGTTCTGGGACATATAAAATTCCCTGGCCTTGTTCACCACATAACATCATTCGTCTTATCTCCTGTGCTAAGTGCCAGTTGCACCCCTCACACTTCCCAAGAGCCAATGTGGTTACAGTGTAGGACTAGGACCTGGAAGGCCAGAGTTCAGTTCACATTTTGGCCATGAAGCTCCCTGGGGGATTTCGGGCCATTCACTGCCTCTTAGCCAAACCTACCTCATATGATCATCGTCAACTGCTCCGTGCAATGACTGGATTTTGCGTCCAGTCCTCAGGACGCTTCTACATTATTTCACTGGTCCATAGCCTTCTGACCACAGGGACAGTCTGTAAGATCAGTAGGCTGGGTGTGAGAAACCAGGAGCGAGTGGCAACTCAGCAGCCAAAGAACAGTAGTAATTTGAAAAGGAGGACCGTGCAAATGAGATGGAGCTCTAGAGCACAGCATGGGCAGATCCCAGGTGAAAACATTGGCCTCACCAGTTAAGAAGAAGAAGAAGAAGAGTTTGGATTTGATATCCCGCTTTATCACTACCCGAAGGAGTCTCAAAGCAGCTAACATTCTCCTTTCCCTTCCTCCCCCACAACAAACACTCTGTGAGGTGAGTGGGGCTGAGACACTTCAAAGAAGTGTGACTAGCCCAAGGTCACCCAGCAGCTGCATGTGGAGGAGCAGAGATGCGAAGCCGGTTCACCAGATTACGAGTCCACCACTCTTAACCACTACACCACACTGGCTCTCTTAAAGGGAGATTGGATGGCAGGGCTAGGTAAAGCGTACCAGGGTGTAGGGGCACTGCCACTCGGAGTACTCATACTGGTTGGAATGGGCCCACAATCTTACCCAGTGTATGACCTGTTCATATAGCAAGTCTTGTTGGCTGCGATGCTTCCTCACCAATGCTGGTGTCCCCTTTCAGCAGCACAGAGCCACTTCATCAGAAAAAAAGGTGGTTGAGATAACGTCTGCCTAAGTGCCCCAACAGAATCCTTTTAGGGTTCAGTCACACTTAATTCTGAAATTGAACTCTGCATGTTCCAGAGCCATTACTTGACTTTCTCTCCTTTTTCTTCCAGAGCTCGCGAGTTGTGGGGCTCCCCAAAGGCCAGGCGAGCAGCGACATAAATTGACCCACCTCTCATTCGGAGAAAGCCCCGGTGAGTGTGAGCGTTAATACAGAAAGTGGCCAGCCGCCAAAAAACGAAAGTTACCAGATCTGCCGAGAATCCCCAGTGTGACATCATGAAATGGAAGGAATCTGCTGGGCGCCAAAGCGTCTGTTAAAGATCAAAGAAAGGAGCTGGGGGAGAGTTAAGGAAATAGAAACTAGGAGAGAAAATGGGGTGGCTAGTTGGAGGAAAAGGATGTGAGATTTGGCTCAGGGGTGGGGGGCGGAGAGAAAGGGAATACTCTGGAATAAGGAAATCCCCAGACACTTTCATAGACCTGAATTACATGTGCATTTTCTACTAAGTTCACTGTATCACAAACTCAACCTGACTTTTACAGCAGCCAGATCTGCTACTCTGGTAGAAACAGAGGAAGCTGCCTTGCACTGAGTCAGACCATTGGTCCATCTAACTCAGTATTGTCTACACTGACTAGTAGTGTTTTCCCAGGGTTTCAGGCAGGAAACCTCTCCCAGCCCTGCCTGGAGATGGTGGATGGATTGAGGCCTTCTACATGCCAGGCAGATGACCCAACACTGAGCTGTGTCCCTTCTCCAAACTCTCCCCTGTCCCAAAACCGGCCCCTTTCCCCTGACTGATTAAGCTTACAAAGAACCACTTTTGCATGAGTTTGAAGTGTTTTCTACAGCACAATTATTGCCCATACAATATACACGTCTACCCAGAAATGAGCTCAAGGGGACCTACTCCCCATTACCAGGGTTGGGAAACATGTGTCATTATACAAAAGCAGGCATAGCTGCTTACTTCATTTCCAGGAGAGTGCCTTATTTATACATCTGTCCATTTGCAGATCCCTGGACGACCTTGAAATTTCAGCTATTGAATCAACAGGCTGATCATTCCCCTTGATGGCCATTACCATTTTTCTCATTTTGTTCTCAGGTATACTCTTGTGTTTCCAGTGTGTGTGTGTGTGTGTGTGTGTGTGATTCCTTTAAGGTATAAAAATACACGTTTCAGCACAATGGATTAACCACATACTAGGAATTTTTTTACTGTTTGTGAGCGTGTGGGTGTAGACCCAATCTCCATGCTTATTCTGATGAATATACCTTCCTGCTATCTGGGCACCAGGGGGAATTGCTGCAAGGGAAAAGGCCAATTTGATGGAGATCGGGGCTGGGGAAGGAAGGCTGAAACCTCCCCTCCCAAAATACTGCGAACTTGATAATAACCCCCCTTCCCAGCAGCTGTATTTAATTTTTCTAAACATGGCATCATGAACAAGCACACCATTAGTATCACATTTAATAGGTCCTGAGTGTTTGATTTAAAAGAAAGGCATTACCTGATTTAGGAAAATGCTGAATATCTGTTGTGTGTGTGTTTTGTTTTTTTCAGAACTGCTTGCTGTATCTACTTTGGTTTTTTCTCCCATGTTCTGCACTTGCTTCCTTGTCGTGTGTTTTCAGCAGTGTTCATTTTGCAACACCAGCAAAATTTCAGCCCTGTTTATGTGTCGAAATAAAGGATCAGCCTTTGCTTACAAGCTTATTTAGAAGATGGTATTGACTCAGGCTGCTTGTTCTCAGTCCGCCATTTACCACCATCTTGACAAATGAAGAAACTGGTTCTTCAAAGATTATTCCAAACATTTTGTCGTAAGCAAGGATTATTCCAAACTTTATGAAGTATTTGCACATAAATCTTAGTGGGTGTGGGGATTCTGTTGTTCTTGCTGTTGTCGCTGCTGCTGCTGACTCAGGTCGTTTAAAAGTCATTTCCATGTTTGCTTTTAATAATGCCATTGCGGTGGAGCCTATTGCATCTGTGCGAATGCAAACAGACAGCGTGTCTCTTAGTAGTAATGAGAGATTCACTGGAACACCCTAATTCTTTTAACCTGTGACCATCGTTTTACATTTGTATTGCTAGCTCTTTTTGAATGCATCATTCATTCTGCAGCGCAACAAACTCCAATGGGAGTCACTTGCAACAAATGAATCATGGAATCATAGAGTTGGAAGGGATCCCAGGGGTCATCTAGTGCAACCCCCTGCAATGCAGGAATCTTCGGCCCATTGTAGGCCTTGAACCCACAACCGTGAGATTAAGAGTCTCATCATCTACCAACAGAGCTATCCCAGATTGATGAAGTGCAAGATTGGTTTGGGAAGCAACCTCTTTTTGTTGTTTGGTCGTTTAGTCATGTCTGACTCTTCGTGACCCCATGGACCAGAGCACCCCAGGCACTCCTGTCTTCCACTGCCTCCCGCAGTTTGGTCAAACTCATGCTGGTAGCTTTGAGAACACTATCCAACCATCTTGCCCTCTGTCGTCCCCTTCTCCTTGTGCCCTCCATCTTTCCCAACATCAGGGTCTTTTCCAGGGAGTCTTCTCTTCTCATGAGGTGGCCAAAGTATTGGAGCCTCAGCTTCACGATCTGTCCTTCCAGTGAGCACTCAGGGCTGATTTCCTTAAGAATGGAGAGGTTTTATCTTCTTGCAGTCCATGGGACTCTCAAGAGTCTCCTCCAGCACCATAATTCAAAAGCATCAATTCTTCGGCGATCAGCCTTCTTTATGGTCCAGCTCTCACTTCCATACATCACTACTGGGAAAACCATAGCTTTAACTATACAGACCTTTGTTGGTAAGGTGATGTCTCTGCTTTTTAAGATGCTGTCTAGGTTTGTCATTGCTTTTCTCCCAAGAAGCAGGCATCTTTTAATTTCGTGACTGCTGTCACCATCTGCAGTGATCATGGAGCCCAAGAAAGTAAAATCTCTCACTGCCTCCATTTCTTTCCCTTCTATTTGTCAGGAGGTGATGGGACCAGTGGCCATGATCTTCATTTTTTTGATGTTGAGCTTCAGACCATATCAGCTCTCCTCTTTCACCCTCATTAAAAGGTTCTTTAATTCCTCCTCACTTTCTGCCATCAAGGTTGTGTCATCTGCATATCTGAGGTTATTGATATTTCTTCCGGCAATCTTAATTCCGGCTAGGGATTCATCCAGCCCAGCCTTTCACATGATGAATTCTGCATATAAGTTAAATAAGCAGGGAGACAATATACAGCCTTGTTGTACTCCTTTCCCAATTTTGAACCAATCAGTTGTTCCATATCCAGTTCTAACTGAGTATTGGAGAAGATCAGTCTACATCCCAATCCCGAAGAAGGGCAGTGCCAAAGAATGCTCCAACTACCGCACGATTGCACTCATTTCACACGCTAGCAAGGTTATGCTTAAAATTCTACAAGGTAGGCTCAAGCAGTATGTGGACCGAGAACTCCCAGAAGTGCAAGCTGGATTTAGAAGAGGCAGAGGAACCAGAGACCAAATTGCAAACATGAGCTGGATTATGGAGAAAGCTAGAGAATTCCAGAAAGACATCTACTTCTGCTTCATTGACTAAGCAAAAGCCTTTGACTGTGTCGACCACAGCAAACTATGGCAAGTTCTTAAAGAAATAGGAGTGCCTGATCACCTCATCTGTCTCCTGAGAAATCTCTATGTGGGACAAGAAGCAACCTCTTTAGTCATATGTAAAAACTTTAAACACAGCTAATCTGTGTTGGCTAATCTCAGGTCCAGGGATCAAATGTGGCTCTCCAAACCTCTCTACCTGGCTCTTTTTCACCACACTCCCTATCCAACCACATCTCTTCCTCCCAGGCCATGCCCCTCACCAGTCCTGCTGGAAGAAAAACATACGAGTCCTGCTGGAGCTGGCTGGTGGCCCATCTAATATCCAGCATACAGATCACTCAGTGGCCAACCAGGCGCCCACAGGACGATGTGCGGTGGCACTCAGAGCTGTGTCCTTCAACAATGCTTTTTGCATGCCTGGATGCAGGATAGAGAAACCAGTGTACTGTGCAAAGGTAAAATTTGCACTTGTTGCCCTGCACACTTTTGCCCCTGGCCCCGCCTACCTCTGGCATGCGGACCTCGGGAAGGCTGTCCAGAAGGGAACGTGGCCCTTCAGCTTAAAAGGTGTGTTTCTCTGCACTACATCTTCATGGTAGAAGTGTCAAGTTGGAAGGAACCTCGGGGGTCAACCCTCTGCAGTCCCACATCCAATTCGAAACCACACCAGACCCTGCTTAAGCTTTGCAAATGTGCTAGCAGCTTTATTGCTGCGCCACTTGCGTGCAGTCCTTTTTGACAGTGGTTTATAACCAAGTTGCAATAATTGTGAGCCGTCCCAAGATCTTTGGGTGAAGGACAGTCTATAAATTTAAGTAATTAATATGCTCACTGATGTTGGTGACTTCTGCCTGCCATTCATACAATTTGGTTTTCCCTTTCCCTCCCCATTGAAACATCAAATCTATTAGACTCCGCTGGGGTCCCCCCCCCCTTTTAAAACAGGTTGCAGTTTCACACAGGTTGGTGTGAAAATATGTGGGAGGGAGAGAGATTCTCTCTCAAGTTTTCTTCTCAACAGCCAACCCCAACTGCTTGTTGTTGTTGTTTTTTTATTATTACTACTACTACTACTACTACTACTACAGTGGTACCTCGGGTTACAGATGCTTCAGGTTACAGACACTTCAGGTTACAGACTCCACTAACTCAGAAATAGTACCTCAGGTTAAGAACATTGCTTCAGGATGAGAACAGAAATCACACAGCAGCAGCACGGCAGCAGCGGGAGGCCCCATTAGCTAAAGTGGTACCCCAGGTTAAGGACAGTTTCAGGTTAAGAACAGACCTCCAGAACGAATTAAGTTCTTAGCCCAAGGTACCACTGTAGTAGTAGTAGTAGTAGTAGTAGTAGTAGTAGTACTGTACTACTATTACTATTTCGGAAGATTCTACTGTGGAATCTGCCAGAATGAAAACTTTCCAAAGAAATCCTGGTGTGGAAACTTCAGGACAGTCAAAAGGAAGCACCATGCCTCAGAACGTACTGTTAAACTATGGAGTTTGCTGCCTCAAGGTGCGGCAAGGGTGGCTGGGCTGGATGGCTTCAAAGAGGTGGGGAGACATTCACGGATATCAATAGCCACATTAACTATGCAGTACCTCCTGTGCTGGAAGCAGTCTACCCCTGAACACCAGTTGCTGGGAATCTCAGATAGTGGTAGTGTTAGAGATCTTGAAAACGCCAAACAAAACGAACAGGAGCTGAGACCATCAGGAACGCAGTAATTTGAATACAGCTCCTCTGTGGTGCAAATATTTTGTAAAACCCAAGCTGCACCTATGAAATTTCAGGCATAAGATTTCATCGGCAAGAGGTCAGGGCGGGGGTAAGCTCCTTGAACACCTGCGTAACTTCTTTATTGTTGCTGAATAGAGCTTTGTGTGTTGGCTGAGCTGCCTCCCTGACCAACGATGCTATTAATTGGCACTGACGCAGATGTTCACAGCTGCCTACAAGATGTTGGAGGCTGCTCCCATGTCAGCTGCACATGCTATCACCAAGAAAATTACTTTAATTCATTCCTTGGGGTTAGGCTTTTTGTTGCCGCGATGTGACCCGCTAAAACAAAAGGCAGATCTGCCAACAGAAAAGAATAGCCATCAGCCGGGGGCGGGGGGGTCACCAACCTGGCTGGGCACCTGGGCACATTTGCAGGCCAAAGGAACTGTCGTGGTTATTGCACATGCACCACAACTAAGCACCACAACCTATTACATTGGTGGCGGTACAGTGGTCCCTCTGGTTACGTACTTAATTCGTTCCGAAGGTCCGTTCTTAACCTGAAACTGTTCTTAGCCTGAAGCACCACTTTAGCTAATGGGGCCTCCTGCTGCTGCTGCACTGCCACAGCACGATTTCTCTTCTCATCCTGAAGCAAAGTTCTTAACCTGAGGTATTATTTCTGGGTTAGCAGAGTCTGTAACCTGAAGTGTATGTAACCCGAGGTTCCAAACCTAATTTCAGCAGGTGGGAAAGGACCCCAACTGTTCTGTTATAAGGTGAACTAGCAGGGCCATGGCTGCTAGACTTTCTCATAGAGGGGGAAATTTAAAAATAACACAAGAAAATCTTTAATAAAAAATTATCAAGACAAAAGACACATTGCATGATCCAGAAGAAGGGGAAACGTCTTCTGAACATTCTTCCCGACAAAACATTCTCTCTCTCTCTCTCTCTCTCTCTCACACACACACACACACA